GGGTCTCAAAGGGAAGAGGATGGAGTTTCCTCTATTGCCCTTAGCTAGTGCCACTATTTAAATGTCTAGTGGATTTAAAAAAAAAAAAAAAGGCTGTAAACTCTGAAAAGCTGTGAATGAGATTTGGGGCTGTCTCTGAATTAAATGTATATGTGTTGGTTACTCTGCCTGACTCTAGAATTGGGGAAGGTCATAGTTTTTAAACGGTGCATTTAGATAGTCCCAAAGCTCCAAGGTCTCCATCTTACTTCTGTACCGTAAAAGCTTGCCCACCTTGTCTTCGCAAGCTACTTCACACTCTGGTTAGGTAACACATCCTGTCTTTCTATACCTAACATGTTATTTCTGATCTTGTGGGCTTGTGGTTTTGGAGTTCCTTTTTGCAGAGGACCATTGGAAGGAAGGACAYGAGGCTGACCCAGGACTCTTTGGAAATAGGAATTTAAAGAATAAGTGATATTCTCACAGACTAGACTATACTGTGGTTTGTGGAATTAAAACTTCTGGAAAGRGATTTTTGTGTGTGTGCACGGAATGTCTTTGTGTATTTTCTCAATTCTGCACCCAAGCAGTGTTTGAGAAATCTGTCAGAATGGTATTCAGATTGGTGCACAGGTCAAAGAAAATGATCTCTCTGGTTTTTCTGTAACGGTGCATCTCCTGCACTCTTGGAAGGGAGTGGCTGTGAATAGCAGGGTAGGAATGTGAGGCTGTGTTGTCAGAATCTGAACTCTGGCCCTGGACTCCATAGGTGCTGTTTTGCCAGAGAGCACTTGTTGGCCAGGAGCGACGCTGGCCAGAGGAGTGGCCGTAAGGCTGCTTGATTGTTTGGATAAGTGCGTTTGTCATGGGAGACCGCTTTTTTTTTCTTCCTTTTTTTTTAAAACAAGCATAAAAATATCATTTTTCTCAGAGGAAATTGTTTTGTGCACGAATGTCATGGGCCTTGGTGATCATAGAGTGTTTATCTGAGGTAGCTGGGTAACTGAAGAGCCTAGTGAGAGGCTCTTAAGGTGGTGAGGACTCTCTTTGGAGTGTCTGACTTCCTGTCCCAAAGCTGTAGGAAGCCCTCTTGTGTCTCCAGAAGCTGTGAAAGAGGCTGCTGGGCCACTTGGCCACTTGATGACTCTGGTTGTAGTATTTTTCCCTCAGCTTTCTAAATAATGAACAAGTGCTTCTGGAAGCTGGTAGATGGCTGAGTACCAGAACARGGATTATGTCCTCAAAACTGGAGGGGAAAAAAGTTAGAATGGGTCAGGTTTCCAAATGAAGGGTTGGTTCATGGTGGGGCTACAGTGTTGATGACCTTTGCCCTCGGGACATAACCCTCATTTATCTTTTACCAGCTGTGGATTTACTTAAAACCCCTGACGAATCTTTTTACTTTAACCCAATGATGATCCTATAGTGAATTAACATACAGTTTTACTGAAGTTTGAAGAGTTATTGGGGGGGGGGGCTTGGCGAATGGAAATATGGGTTGTCTTCTTGGTTAGCCTGCGACAACTTTTACAGTATTCTCTGGAAGTTATTTTTAGGAGATCTGAAAGTATTTCTCGTAGAGTCTTGAGATTACAAATGAACTTGTCTTAGGCACCTAGCMCTGTATTGCTGTATTTAGGTAATGATGAAATACTCTCAAATGTGTGTAAAGAAAAGGTCTGAGTTATTTTTTTGCCACTATAGATTGTAACTCCTCCTAAGCCTCCCCCTCTCCTGCGGATTCGGGTGCATGCATTGGAAGGCGCTGGAGTTGGAGCCAGTGTCCGTGGGAGGAAGTGTTCTSTGGCTCGTGTTCTCTGGAGAGCTGTGGCTTTGGTTCTTACTCGTGGGCACCTTGCTGAATCTCAACAGCCAGCTGTCTCTTAAAGTAATGAATCTTCCCTTTCATAAGGTAGATCTGCAGCCCTGAAGGTACACCTAGGGAGTGGTGCTCAGAATTCATCACAGGAGAAAAATTCTCCAAGACAGTTCTCACGTATTGTACTGGGGTGGCTGAGAATCAGGTGCATAACTTTCCCAGCCTTGTGCACTTGGCGTGGCACATGCTTGAGAAGCCACCCTAGAGAAGTGGCAATATCTTTGTGGTCACAGCCTGCTTGGAATTTGGCTAGATCATCTCCAAGCCCATTAGCAGCAGTGATGCCCCCACCCCACGGTGTGGCAGTCCCATGGCTGTTGCTGGTTGCTCTTTGCATCTTCTTTTGTCTGGTTGACTCTACTGTGTTGTTTTCCTGAAGCCTTGACCTTGACATGAACATGTTACTGTCTTGCTGGCGGTTTACATACCTCGTGCTTTGGCCAAAGTGTCCCACCACCTCCAGACACGTATGCRCTCCTGCTGTAGCCAAAGAGGACCGCACCTCAGCCAGCGCTGGTCCCCCTGTGATGGGCTCGTGGTGCGCTTCTGTGAACTGTGCACTGATGAAGAACACAAGTGGGTTGATCATCCACGTTTGGGAGATGTTTAAAATTTACTTTAATGCCTTTAATTAAAACCTTGACTATTGCAGGAGTTTTAGTTGCTTATGTAATATTTATAGAACCTGTCTATCATAAGGGCTGGCTCTCCTTGGCAGTGAAACCAGATCATCAACAGTATTTTTTTAATATTTTCTAATTAGTTATACATGGCAGTAGAATGCATTTGGACACATCATACATAAATGGAGTATAACTTCTCATTTTTCTGTTTGTACATGATGTAGAATCACACCAGTCATGTAATCATATATGTACGTAGGGTAATAATGTCCGATTCATTCTAGTATTTTGAGGACTGTTTTCAGTCACGATTTAGTTCTTTATATTAGAAAACAAGTGTAATGATGCTTTATCACATGATTTTATAAATGCCGGTTATAGAAAACTGGAAAAATGTGAAAGAAAAATCCAATGTGAAAGAAAAATCCATTGTAGAAATCTCTCTAGATATGACTTACATGATTTCCCGTCCAGTGAGTTGGTGTGTTGCTGCTCTGGTGGTCCTGCTGGGATGAGTTGGTCCCTTTCATCCCTGGCTACCAGTCCAGGCACTGTGGGAGGGGCTGCTTTGGGGAGGKCTGCCCTGCCAGCCCTTCCTCTGCTCTTGCTGTATGACCTGCACCAGCAGCAGAACCTCCCAGAGCCTTGGGGGTAGAACCCTGCCCACTTCAGGAACTTTGAAGAGAGCCAGGCACAAGTGGATGTGGTGATGGGAGGAGCTTGTGGCAGTGCCTGGCCTGTTACAGGTGACCTGAGTGTGCTGATGATGGCGTGACCTGAAACCGCCTACGTTCCAGTGGGCACAGCTGGTGACAGTGTTCTACAGGATAGAATAAGATGGATGCTTTTTTATTCTTTGGAATTCCTTTTCTGACCCTTCCTGCACGAAAAAGCTGATGAGAAAAGCTTTAACATATTCCATTAGGAAAGATGGAAGTTTGTCCTCTTGGAATCTGTTTGGTGAGGTTACTCAGTGATATTTCTGAGTTGCTGAATTTTAAAAGGGCTAAGTAGAATGAAAAAAAGGAAATAAGAAAAATTTAAGAATTCTTCAGTAATCCTTGAACATTTAGCTATAATAGGGATTCTCTCCTAAGTTTTAAGGTGTAATGGTCCCTTTCAGATGTTCTCGAGGCATGTGAGTGTACATGTGCCCACGTCCTCTGAGTGCCACCTTTCTAAAGGCTGTATGTCCTTAGCCTGAGCCCTGGCTGGTGGCCGTGAGCAAGCCCTTTCTGAGGTTGGACACAGACCAGCTGCCATGGGATCCCTGGGTTTTTAGGGCTTCTGGGACTCTCTTGCTCATGTTTCTGCTGCAGTCTGTCAATCCTAAGATTGGCACTCCTGCGTAGGGCTTCTATCTTTCTGCCTTAGTTATTTGACTAATGAGAGAGTCAGGTAATTTTTTTCCTAAATGTAGGCTGGTTTATTCTTACCTGTACTTTATATTCTCCTAGGCAGACTTCAGCAGACAGTTTGATCCAATCCAAAGGCCTCTGCTTAGTTGTACAAAATAGCAGGCTAGATCCAGGGATTCTTTTTTTTTTTTTTAACTTTCTTCTCATTTATTTATTTGTTTATGGTGCTAAGGATGGAACCCAGGGCCTTATGCATGCAAGGCGAGCACTCTACCAACTGAGCTATATCCCTAGCCGTAGACCCAGTGATTCTAAGCTTTGGCCACAGGGGCCAGAATCTGGAGAGCTGCCAGTAACTGTCTCAGGCCACACCCCAGACCACTGGCCTCTCTGACATTACAGTTTCCAAAGCTCCCTGGGGGCTTCCTTGCTCAGCCAAGGTTGAGAACCAGGTGGAACAACTCAAAACTTATCCTCAGATCAGTGGGAAAGTTGCAGGTCAGGACTGGCGGCCCAAGCACGTGGGAGATGGTTTGTCCTTCTACATGGGACAGAAAGATTATGTCCCTTATGTCAGTGTGCTATGGGAGGGAAAAGGAGGGGGTCTTCATGTCACCTGTCATCCTGGTCTGAGGAACTGCTTTCGATGATAGAGTAGCCCTAATTGCTATTCCAGCCTGGTGCTGGCACTGGCGAGTGGGTGATCCTGCTGATGCAGGAGGCTGGGTTCCACACGCATCTCTACCTCCAGCTGACTTGGCTTTTTGCCAGTTCTGTAGAGAGGAGGCATCTTCCTGTTCATCTTATTTTTTTTTTCTGGTTCTTCCATGGCCAGAGAGAATTATTGTCTTCATTTTGCAGACAAATCCGAATTTCAGCTGGAATGAGTGCTGTGTCTAAGGAGAAGTGATCTGGTCTGTGTCCTTCCAAGGACCCATTCTGTGTGCAGCAGTCTCCCGGATGGAGGCAAATATAGAGGGTGGCAGGTGCCTTCTGCTCCTCTGTAGCTCTTGAGGTATGGGAAACTAGAGAAACACCAGCAGGGTCTTGTGCCTTAGGGCTGAGGGAGCAGAAGTTCCTACAACAGTCGTCCTGAGTCTTGGATACGCAGCAAGTCCTGGCAGAGCCTGTGACGCTGCCGGTGCCCAGGCAGCACCCCAGACCTGTGACATCAGACTGCAGGGTGGAGTCCCAGCCCCTGCATGGAAGCCAGTGGGTGAGAACCCCTGCCCAGGGAGAGCCCAGGACTCACTAATGCACCCTGATCCAGAAAGAAAGGGTTCCAGGCATTGGGACAGAGGGCACACCTCCCTTCTGTGCCTGTCAGGGAGGGAACAGGAGGTGGCAATGGGACACTGGGGTAGAAAAGGAGGTACAGGCTCCTGAATTGGCAGGGAGGCAGGTACCAAGCGATCCGCAAGGAGACCTCTGCACCTCATGTGGTTTATATCTCACTGTCTTTGTTCCCCAGCTGGAAAGGGCTTCACGTGGGGTGTTTTGGGGAGCTGGAGGACTCAGTTGGAAGCTGCTGGGGAAACTTGAGGAGCTGGTGTCTTTCCACTCTGCAAAGGAGCCCAGACCCCACTAACACAATGGGACCTGAGGCTAGGGTAGGGGCCCTTGAAGTGAGCCCAGTCCTTACCAGTTCCTGACTCTGTGACAGATGATGAATGTGATAAGAGTGGGATTAGCTATTTCAGGAACTTCAGCAAATCAGCATTGTGTTCCTGGGGACCCAGAGGAAGTTATCAGGAGCCGGCTTTCCAGTTTCCCTGTGAAAAGCTGAGCCCCCGCCCCCACAGAAATTCTAAGGAGTTCACCTTTTCTAAAGGTTAAGGGTTTTTGTTTTTGTTTTGGTTTTTGGTGTTTTTTTTTGGTCATCTAAATAATTAACATAATTTTTGTGTGAGAGTCTCCTCCCTTAATTTGCCCTGTGCTCTACCTAGATTGACAAGGCAGGTAAATAAATAGCAAAGTTAATGCCCAGTAAATAGAAATTGGTTACAAAATTCACTTTGGGTCCGGAAAGATCTGCTGGGCAAGATGGTCACATCTTGTGTATTTAAAGCTCCTAGACAGGATCTCGTCCCTGAACTGGGCAGTTTATTAGTTTCTGAGGGCTGCTGTAAACATGACCACAAACTGAGTTGTGTGAAACAACAGTTCTGGGGTCCAAGTCCAAAAGTGGCATGCCAAGAGGATTGTGCTCCTTTTGAAACCTGGGGGATGGGGGAGAGTTATCGCTTGTCTCTCCCTGGCCTCTGGAAGATTGTTAATGACAATCTTTGGGGTTGTTTGCCGAGGTTTAGTGCCAGTCTCACCACATGGTGTTTTTCCTGTGTGTCTGTCTTACACAGCCGTCTCTTCTTGAGGACACCAATCAAACTGGATTAAGGCCCCCCCCAATACAGTGTGACATTGTTTTATTTCATTAGTTAACTAACAAAACAACTGCAATGACCCTTTAAAAAAAATTAATAGATGTTGAGATGTGGGTCTGACTATGTTACCTATGCTGATCTTGAACTTTTGGGCTTAAGTGATCCTCCTGCCTCAGCCTCCTGATTTACTGGGACTGCAGGTGTACACCACTGACCTGGCAATGACCCTCTTTTTAAATTCAACTTGGAGGTATTAGGACTTCAGCACATCTTTTGTGGGGCATGCAAATTAATCTGGCCGGAAGTGGACCAGGGGCTTTGTGCACCTTTAATCTCCACACAGACCTAGGTGATGGGTATTATTCGCCACTGGACACACCAGGAAGCTGAGACGGGTAGAGCTGAGGGTGCTTAGCCAAGCCACACAGCTAACAAGGGATGGAGTCAGGATTTGAACCCAGGACTTTGGGACTCTAGAGCAATATACATCTTCCCTAGTTGAGACCAACTGTGGGTTCTTTTGGGACCTCCTGTGGAATGGAGTATATAACTCAAATTTTGAGCTTTCTCAGGCAATGCACGGGGGACTTCAACTGTGGACTTAAGACAGTTGTAGGAAGCCAGTCAAATACTAAAATACAACTTACTTGTCTTTTTTTTTTTTTTTAAACTGGGCATTGAATGCAGAGGTGCTTAGCCATGGAGCCCATTCCCCAGYCCTTTTTTAAATTTTGAGATAGGGTCTCATTAAGTTGCCGAGGCTGGCCTTGAACTTGTCCCCCTGCTCAGCCTCCAGAGCTGCTAGGATTACAGGTGTGCACCACTGTGCCTGGCTTGAGTCATCTTTCTTGAGGAAAACTTGAAGTTAGATTTGTTGAGGTGGTGAGATGGAAGATTTTTCTTAAATTTTTACGCTTATTGCTCTCATAATTTCTGTTAATAGAATAAAGAGAAGCTTTTTTCAGCCATGCGATCAGCACGCCAACTTCATAATAGAGGTTCGAAGCATAAAAAATAACTAGTGAGTTTTAAAACTAAAGAGACATAATTCTTGTTACCTTTATTGCCCAGCTCAGAGATGGCTCCTCCTAGCTCCTGCCTCCAACCACCTAATGCGGTGGCGAGGTTAACACAAGAGGCCAGCGAGAGAGGGGGAACAAGCCAGGGAGTGAGCTTTTATTGGGGAACAAAAAATTCAAAGGAAAATTCCATCCAATGAAGATGGAGGGGGGCAGCATTCCAAGGTCAGAGTCAGTGATTGGTCTTCAGGTCAGCCGTCAGGCACACCTCCACACGGACAAGCCTTCGCACCTGGGACAGGGTGGGCACGGCTCTGACACAGTTGTGTCTGAGCGCCTCTCACCCAGCCAGGGAGGCAACTCAAATCACGTGCGAGAATGGCTTCCCACACTTTTTATTTTTTAAATTTTATTTCAAAAAATATTTGTTTTTTAATTATAGGTGGATACAAAATCTTTATTTTTGTGTGGTGCTGAGGATCCAACCCAGCTCTTCACACATGCTAGGTGAGCGCTCCACCTCTGGGCCACAACCCAGCCCAAGAGAAGCCTTTAGATCTTGGTTCCTCAACACCCTGCTGAATGTCCTGCGTCTCTTATTTTCACCAACCTTACCTGACAAGGAYCTGTGCTGATTCTTCTGGTGGCAGGCCTCTCCAGCGCATGAGCACTCTGGACATAAGGATCAGGTCATGAGATGGCACAGCGGTGGTTGTGATTGCCTGGCCACTGTGCTTGTGTCTGTGGATTGAGTGTCAGTACTTTGCCAACAAATCCTATGCGCTGTCTTATCTTGGGCTTCCGAATCTGGAAGCCTGTAACAACTTTTCCTAAATGGGTAGCTATGAATAATCAGATTCCAAGATCAGAATTCCCAGGAGGACAGCCCTTGTAGTAATGAGACGTCCATGAGTCTGAGGGGATAAACGGCCCCTGCTAAGCTGCCACCACTCATCTTATTAAATTTTAATTTCATTTGATTTTTTTCCTCCCTAGTTACTGACTCCAGGTTTCCTTTATGCCACATGTTTTCTGTCCACAGAAGTTGGTGGAAATGTATCTTGAGGGTCAGAAGGACAGATTTCCTAAAGACAAGTTGGGTGATCACTATGGCATGGAGTGTGATGGCCTTAGGGACAGGGCAAGATGTCTCTCCTTGTTACTTGACCTTGTCTTAGATCTCATCAGGATCCGAATGTGGAACGTGGCTGAGCCCTGATCTGTGGCTTTCTTGGGACCTGGAAAAGGTGAAAGGTTCTGTGACCCATCAACTGCCAGTGTTTTGCAGACTGATAATGTTGCCTTCGGGGAAGGCAGAAGTCAGGTGGGCAGTGTGGTCCCATGGGCCCTCATTTCCTTGGGGCAGAGCCCTCTTCTGGGGAGTTAGTGTGTTCTCCCTACCTCCAGCTTTTCTGTTTTCCTTTTTGTGCTTTTTTTGAGATTCATGGTTAAATTCCCAGCTGCATGACTGGCAGAAAAGTTTCACTGTCCCAGGACACTGTACCTGTGGAGAATATGCTGCTTTATTTTTACTTAGTCCTTAAGATAAATTTGTTACTGAAGTGTGTGACTTCTGTCTGGCCCAAGATTAGATTCATGGGTGGCTGCGGTGGGACCATGGTACTGCTGCTGTGTCACAGTCACTGGAAGAGAGCGACAGATGGCAGGCAGGCTTTGAGTAATCAGATTTCAAGATCAGATCCCCAGTGAACAAAACTCCAGCTACTTGGCATATGGAAAAACAGCTTCCTTTAAGCGAACTGAAAGAGCTCAATTCTTTGAATTTATGGGGTTCACTGAGCATGATTGAAGGCACATCAGGAACCAGGTGTGCCAGACTTTGGGTCAGATAAAGGATCCCAGCCTTCCCCTTGCATCTGCCCCTGCTGCATGCGCTGAAGAAAGCTGTGATGGCGTGTGAACATCCCAAGTGGGAGCAGACTAGATATAATTTGATGCCTGAGAACACTGTTATTGAAGACAAATGCTGATGTGAAATCGGAAGAAAGCAGAGGTTTTGTTGTGAAGGGTATTATAAACCCTGGCGCTAAATGCTGATGAACTCAGCTTTGTCTTTACTTACACCTGTTGACCTTCTAAATGGGTGGGATCTGCTGAGTTTGCTTGTTCTCTCTGGGGAAGGCCTAAGTAATAACGTGTGCCTGGCACATAATGGATATTTTATAGATTTTTTTTTAATTGCACATGAGTTACTATTTTGAAATGCACCTAGGCTTGGTAAGCCTAATGAAATAGGCTCCTTCCTTTTCAAGATCTGTTTGCAGTTTTCTAGGCTCCCAGCGTGGGGGTGGGGTGTCTCCTCCCAAGTAAAGAGGCACGATCTACCAGGGGAGCACAGTCTTTCGTTTTGAACTTGAACCTATGGAAATGTCTTTGTTTGCTGACCCTTTTGGTTCTCATATTGATTTACTTTTTGCAAAGGAGGTACTGTTGCCTTATTTTTCTGATTATCAAGTGCCTCTGAGCTCCATTTCCTGCTTTTAATTATGTACAAGACCATTAAAGAAAGTGTGGCTTGCGAGGTGGAGGTGGCAGTAGTGTGGCTTTCACAGCATAAGGCGCTGTCGGGCAGCAGGCTGCGTTTGTGATAAAATTTGGCTGGCAGACCCATTTGTGCACCATGTGCTGTGAGCAAGTCTTGTTGAACAAGTTTAGCAGCCTTTTTGCAACTGTCTTTGAGCATGAAATGAGAATTCTTTGTATTTCAAGTTCAATCTTGTGCATTTCCCATGCCCCTCCCCCCATCCTCAGTATTTCTGGTGTGGGATTGAATAGTCTAAATCGGTGGCCAGTTA